GGGGTTAATAATGACAATTTGTCATTATTAAACCCTGTTATAATCTGGCAATATGACATACCATGGTTCCGTGAATGCTTCGCTTCGCTTTATATGAAAAGTCGCACACGACGATCGCTACGAGATATGTAGGCATCTCTATCGTTTGCTCAAATGTGTCGGCTACCCAACCTTTACTCCTGCGTACGTAACATAACAGAACATAGCATGACATAACAGCAGAACGCGACACAACGCAACGCAACGCAACGCAACGCAACGCAAGGTCACACGGCGTAATGTAACGCAACGCAACGTAACACATTGTAATGTAACGTGACATGACGTAACGTAGCGTAATATAAAGTAGCGCAATGTAACGTAACCTAACCTAACGTAATGTACCGCGACGTGACGTAACGTAACATGCCGCGACGTAAGGTAACATTACACAGTACGAAATAACGATAGAGTGTAAGGTGGAGCAGGGAAATTGAGCCTCGCATCAGATCTACGCGCAGATCCTCGCAGCAGATCTACTAACCAACAACACTTGGACGGTAAGCGGTCTGTCGTAAACAAGACACGACTAAACACACGGATAATGGAAAGATTCGGAAGACGTTAAAGTAAGCAAATGTCATCTGATGTAAGGAAATCATTGATCAGAGCCAATTTTCGTTATGATAAAAACATTTTTCGTAATAAATAACCACTATTTTTGTGAAACCGCTCAACACGATTGTGTTACAGAAGGTAACCGGGTTTGAGACCACGTGGCTGTGTCTTCCTCCTTGCATGTATAACGTTTAGGCTTACCACGCTCGCTGATGCGCTGTGTCGGTGTTCGACAAGGCGATGTGCTTTTCGTCATGTATGAGAGTCAACTGAAACGTGGCTCTGAATCTCGTCTCGTCCCAGCAAGGAAATACTTCCCGCGCCAGCGTTGCCGCCATCTGCGTTACGGCAATGTACCTGCGCGCGTTACATTCATATAATGGATAAGTGCGAACAGAGCAAGCGTGAGCGAGTCCCTTCTTGTCGTAAACTATAATAGAACTATGCTAATTAAATAACAGTAACTTTACGCAATGTCAGTTTAAATATACAATTTATGATTTTAGTTAAAATAACTATATTTTATCAAAAGAAATTATATTCTACAGGAGTCAGCGCCCCCAAACGGCCGATTATTCGCTTCAGTCGACAAGGCAGGTGCTATATACGCTACATCAGGGCCGAAGTTGATTACAAATAAATAATACAACGAGGCAAGTCTTCATTGGCAGAATTAATTTTTATATGTCACCCGACTGTATGGCTAACGGACTACGGCCAGAAACCTAGCAAAATAGTTGTGTGATGCGCATGTGTCTACAGCTTTGCAATTTAGAGCTTTCCTTCTTGAGCGCTACAAAAATAGCAAAGGTGTGGCTTTCACAGACCTAGACGCATCCACATCAACCAACTGTTCTGCCAACTTTCTAAGCGAGAATATTTATGAAGACATCTATACGCACGTGTTGCCTTCACACATACCACGGCAGCTTGCTTTTGGCCAGTTACCAGAATATGATTCATGGAATAAACATATGAAACGCGACTAATGGGGTTTTTAGTTCAATGTATCATCGTCTATTCCGCATTTCAATTTTAATTTTGAAGTAATTTTATCGTTCAGAGCACGCCCTGAAACCCCCACATCGGACCTTTCAACACTAGAGTCCATTATAGAACATATGATTAATTCTTCACTATGACAGTATATCACAAATAATATTATCGCGTAGCTCCGTTCTTTCACGAGATATCTCGATTAGCTGAGAGGCACTTTTAACACGAAATAGAAAAGCTTGGCAATCCGCTCAATAAAAATAGCGCAATTTCACGTCAGCGCGTTCATCCAATAATGTACGTTACCTTGTCACTCCGATCGAGTCGACGTAACTACTCGGGTATAGACCAGACAACGTTAGGTTTTCGTTTGATCGACTTTGGAAGCTAAGAGTAAACTTGTACTCCTCCCCTTCCATGAGGTAATCATCAAGATAGAAGCCGATCATGTCATGTCTGTTGGGAAATTACCATGTTCGTAAATTACATGTATCATTTCATTAGTAGTACGACGCCAGTTACTAATTGCAGTTATACAATTTCCTCGATATATTGTGAATAGACTGTTGATGTCATGGCTGACTTGATATAGAATCGTACGACGAAGACAATTGTTAAACATTTCCGAGAAAAATTCGGATATAATTCTGTAGGCACGAATACAATATGGAATGTGTAACCATGTATAGATTCATGTAAAACCTAGTTCCACTCACAGACGTATTATCTCATATACGAAATTTAAAGTGTAATCTAACAATGTTGCATAACAAAGAGTGCACGACCTGCCGCTTGCACCACTCACTGGAACGTACGTTAGACTACATTAGGTTCGTAACTTGCAAAAATGTCTTGGTAAAATGACATGTCATGTCGTGACATTGTCGTGACTCAGCTGACTAATGACGAGGAAGAACTATAGCTCCTAATTAACGTGCATAGTGAGACAGAAAACTGGTTCGAGGTGTGGACTTTACGAATAACTACATGCTGATTTAATTACACTTATTTTATTAAGTTAATTACATTTGTTGGGCATGTAATTTTTCTTTTTATTCAAAATTGAGAGAATAGCTGCATTCTTTGTTACCCTAGAAGCTACTATCCTAGTTATGCACAAGAAAATAACATAACGAGTTCACTATAGTATTTCGCGATTTTGAATTATACTATCAAACCCAGATAAGGCATGACATAGTCTTTACTATCTTTTTTTACATTGGATATTTTTTAGTAATTTAATGGTCACATTGCAGGCAACAGTTCTTTAATTAGGGACTAGGTATTAACGCTTTCATCATTATACCTACGAGTTAGGGTTATTAACATTTATTATACTTTTTCTCATTATTATTTCTCCTTCGTTTAATTATTCTTTCTCGAAAATCGTAACGAGGGAACCGTTACCCCGTCGCCTAGAAGCCACGACTTTTCGATTTCAGTACATACATCGGGAACAGTTTCCAGTCGACACATCTGCGGCTCTGCACTCCGGCACGCGTGGCGGCGACGACGCTGACGTTGGCGACGTGGAGCAGCTCGGCGTGCTTGTGAAGAAGAACGAGAGCGGTGCTGCTCTCACATCGTATCGTGATGTCGACGCTGCCGTGGAAGTGAAACGTCGACGTGTTCGCGGGTAGCTGCGTCGAGGCGTGCGGCCCCAGGTGAACCTGGCGAGAGAATTAGCCGTGTGCGGAATAGATATGCATGTGGTCACGTGTTGCTGCGCGGCGGTGGAGTAACAAGAATGCGAAACTGTAGGTGTCGCTGATAAACTGCGCCCGAGACCTCACGTCCACAGCCTATCAAAGATAGATGAACGTCATAGGGAGTAACCAAACAGCGCTCTATACCGAATAATGTAATTAGGCATAACCATCGTTGACACACAGTGGAGATATTCACGATTGTTTTACGTGGCTAATGTTGCGAATGCTTGTTTTCTTTGCGAAAGATTTATACACAAACAACGTGCGACACAAATGAACAAACCATTATCAATGACAGACGTAAAAACAAATTTACATCGCAGCAACATTGCTTTGTGTAGCCGCCACACGTTTCGTGTTGCTATATACCTATCCAGAACCTACGGTTATGTTAGCTTTTAGTAACTGCACCAAACTGAGAAATTCCGTTTCAGAATGCAGAACTCTGTAGAATCCTGCTGCGTTCTTATTCACCAATTGCCAAGCCTCGCCGTCCAGCTCTCCCTTTCGTATTTTCACTGTAATCAGGGCACAAGATTATAAAATTCGTTAAAAATTTTGGTCGAGAAAGGCAGCTGATAGTTTTGCCGTAACTTAAAACTTCACACACGCCTTAATATCAACGTGCGCGCCTTCATGACGTCATATGGTTTCGAGCGCATTTGCCAAATAATCACAATTACTGTGCTAGGTATAATTCCGTTAAGAACCCGTACTGTTATTGTTATATCATATGATCATGTTGGCGTACATGATTTCGTTGTTAACCAATAGACTTCCGGCCTGCTGTTTGGCTGCTCCTGCTGTTTTGTAAACAGGGGTATCGCATACAAGATCCCGCTCTCTGCATCGCTGTAAGAAGTGGACACGGGTCGGTAGCATACAGAGTTCACGTTTTGCACAAAAGTACATTTCAATTTCAGTTCTCCTGTTCGTGTTATCGTTAAACTTAACTCGTGTTTGCTCTTCAGTTGCGTTAAATCGTGCTAACTCTCTAAGCTCGCGAGCTTTTAATTTGGCTTTGTAACGAGGCGAAGCCTAAATATTGTGAGGTTTCCATTGTCGCAGCTATGGTTTACCTCGGGCTTGTAGAAGTGGAATTGTTTGCCTGTAATCTCCTTCGTTGACCCTCTAGAAATTGATGCTGTGTAAACACATAACAGTCGTCTTCCGCTGTCACGGTGACGTAAGGGTAACCAGGCTGTAGGGTCCAAGTGTCCATCACAGATTTTATGTCAATGTTCACGTGATCAGCATCTACAGCCTATGCATGAAGATATATAAAGTTGGTTGGATTATTATTAAAAGAACATGATATGGCATTCATATGTGCTGCGAATACAATTCTATCCATCGGGCTATAAAAAAAACTAATTTATTTGACGCGGGAAATGTGTTGCTAAATGCAACATGAGCTGTAAGGTGACCGCTAAAACGGCGCGCGGGAGCAATCATTGGTGGGCTTTTTCTGTGGCGAAACTGAGAGGGCCTTGAAACGCATAAATATACGAGCTTGTCTCTCTTAGACTACAATAATGTACCTATTACAACATGCAGAACGCGTCTGATTATGAGAAAGTGTATTTACGAATTGTGAATTAGTATATAATAAAATGCACCGTGACTAGAAGTATACATGAGTATACCTGCAGTAGACAAGCATTCATCGGACATCATAAGACTACTGTAGGGATGTAAAAAACAAAAACAAAAAAATAGGAAACGAAACATCCTGATACGTGTTCGCGTATATTTACGGACAGCAAAATTAATTGCACAGTCACTGCAGCCGGTTGTTATTAGTGATATAGCGGATTATCTAGTGCGCTGTGGAGTTGACGCGGTTGTCCTTTTATTACTCGAATACAATATTCGTGCGCACTTATATGTATATATATATATATACAAACGTACCTGTTGTATCGCAGTCCAGAGGTCGTCCGTATCTGCCGACGATCCACTGTGAGCTGTCAGATAATTTACGAGG